CAGTAGATATTTGTTTACGTTTGAATTTTAATATTAGGAACAATGAAAAAATATTGATAAAATACACTTTGAGTAACAGAATGCTTGCATTTTAAAGTTTCTGTCATGTTTACTCTTGGCTTTACCACCTGTTCCATTTTCTTTCAGATTTTTGAAAGGATCTTGTTTATATGGGCAATCCGCCACCCCGCCAGTGGGTATGTTCAGGGGATAAATGACCTGGTCACGCCTTTCTTTGTGGTCTTCATTTGCGAATACTTAGGTAAGATTTCTTGAAAACATTAAACGTGAACTTTAGTGGACTTGCTGTGTGTTTCTATGCATAATTATAAAAATACTGAAAATTGCCCTTCAGTTTAATGTTATTAACATAAGTAATCTTAGAGAAAGAGTTTTCTCGTTGACAACAGCTTCCAGAATGTCTTTAATCCACATGCTCGACCACTGAAGACATGAAGTTGCAGTTGTGATTATTAGTATCTTCTTTTTAACAATATGTGAAGATAAATAGTGTACGTGGGGAGTGTAGTTTATTCTAAAGGCAAGCACAGTGCTGGCTTTAATGGTTTGAAGTTATTTTTTTTATTTATGAGATGGAGTCTTGCTCTGTCGCCCAGGCTGGAGTGTAGTGGCGCAATCTTGGTTCGCTGCAACCTCTGTCTCCTTGGTTCAAGTGATTCTCCTGCCTCAACCTCCCGAGTAGCTGGGATTACAGGCATGCATCACCAAGCCCAGCTAATATTGTATTTTGAGTAGAGACGGGGTTTGACCATGTTGGCCAGGCTGGTCTTGAACTCCTGATCTCATGATCCACCCACCTTGACCTCCTAAAGTTTTGGGGCTTCAGGCATGAGCCGCTGTGCCCAGCCGATTGTTTGAATTTAAATGGATAAGGTTAATGTGATGGACTATCAGTGGCATATTTTGCTTACAAGCTGAAAACCAAATCTTTAATTGCGTTTCTGTGGCATTTCATCACTTTCCTGCTTTTGATATACTAGTAACATTTTGTGTTCTGAGAGTCTTAATTACTTGTAACTGGGTGAACAGTGTAGGTTGCGCTATGCTGTTTCTTTTTGAGTACTGTGTATCTTTTCTTTATCACAGTCAACTGTAACATAACTGAATCTGTTTTGAATGTTTTAAGTTAAAACCTCTGATGATAAAAGTGAGGATCTGCTTTTTAATTCATCTGTGAATAGAAAATAGAAGAGTGGGGACTTGACTGTGTTGTTGCCGCATTTGAATTAAACCGGTTTTGTCTTCCTGCAAGCCTTCCAGACGTGGGGCTTGCCTGTTTTCATCACATGATGTTTTAGCCTTTGCAGTTTGGGGTTGGCTTCAGAGTCGCACGCTTGCTGTAATCTGGAGAGATGAGCTTTACCCAAGGACAGATTCTCCTCCGAGGATGGGGACATAGCCGTGTAGTGAATTTCCTTGCAACCCCACTCACACTTTGTCCCCATTTATGATTTCATAGGAGGTTGCCTCATTGCTAGGCAACTAATGAGAGCTGCTGCGCTCACTCCCTAATCATCTCTTAAGTAGAGGAGAGGCCGCTCCTGAGGGTGCTTGCTTTTCTGCCTCTTACCCCTCATTTGACAGATAATGAAAATGCTCTTAATGATCCTAGAACAGTAGGACCTCTGTCAGTAGACTTCAGCGTTGTTAATTGAAAGGGGAAGTTCAACTGAGATGTGATTAGAGAATTGATATTCCATGTTAAATAGACCATTTAATTAATGTGGTAAATAAGTTTGTCTTAACTACTTTACCACCAACTTCTGTTGTAAGACCCAAGTGATTCTTAATGCATTTGCCTGATTATCTGCAAGACAGGGCCAAGGGGCATGACCACGATCTTAATTGTCCAGCAGGAAGAAAGACAAGAGAAAGTGGAATTTGTGTCCTGTAAGTCGCGTTTTCAGATGAGCTCAGGGACACTCTCCTTACCTTCCCACATGCCCATCACACACACATGCACACACGTATCCCCATCACACACATACGCACACAGCAGAACACAGCTGCACATTGTGGGTGTACAGTGTCACTTCCAAACATCTGTGTAAAACGTACCATTTATTTCTGTTAGTTGACTATGAAGCGGACCTAGAAAAATGTTTGGTCCTGGATTTCACACGTGGTTGTGGCATTTGTAGTCCTTTTTACATCTTGCTTCCTCTGTTTGGGGAATGTTCATTAGTATAGTCCAAGTCCATTTCACTTTGTTGTAAAGAAACGTTTACACATAGTATATTACAAATCCATTTCATTATGCTGTAAAGACACGTTTAACTTGCGTGGGGCGCTGTCCAGCTTCCTTTTGGCTACGGTTTTGTCATTCATGCAGCCCTTCATGGAGCACCTGCCCTGGTGCTGGGTCTGGTGCAGGGCGCTGGGTTGGGAGGTGACTTCAGTTCAATTCGCGAGTGTTGACAGAGCATCCCCTGGCCCTATGCTGTGGGAGCCGGGCAACGGACCAAGGAAAGCCTGATCCCTGCCCTCTTGGAGCAGTGGTTATAGCACAGGAGACAGATTGTAGATGAGTAATTTAAAGTCTTAATTAAAGTAATTAGCATTCACATTATCAAGAGGAAGCATGGGCTGCTGTGAGGACCTGTCCCCGTTTAGGGGTCAGAGGAGGCTTCCAGGATGAAGTGACATTTTAGCCATATCTCATGGGATGAGGGGGAGCCAGGTTGAGGCTGGGTGTTCAGGAGGGCAGCAGGAGGGCCACCCTGGAATCCAAGGTGTAGTGACAAGTAGTGGCACTGGGAGGAAGGGCGGGGCCGCCTGGGCCTCGGTGCTGAGAAGGAGAAGCCTGGGGTGGAGTCCCAGGGGCGTGCAAAATCCCCAGCCACGGTGCCTGGGTTTTTGTCTTTGAACATTGAGTCTGGCAGCTGCATGGATGAGATTGGAGAGTTTCTTGGGAAGCTCACAGACCAGGGACCCGCAGCCTCCAGCACCGGCAGAGGCATGGGCACCTTCAGAGAGGCTGTTCTGGTTTGCTGAACTCTTAGTTTGCTGGGTCTTCAAGCCAGTAAACCTCCGATGCTCTGCTTAGTGAGGCTCTTCAAGTGGACTGTTCCTTCAGAGGGTAGAGCCTGGTAATGGGAGCCTGGTTTTGACGCCTGAGCACCTGCCAGTCCTTGGGCCTCCTGCCTGTGGTGCTAGCCCAGGTGTGCGCTGCCTCCTGAGAGCTGCAGCTGGCCTGCTTCTGGGGGCGACCTTGCGTTGCTACTTGGATTTTCCTGTCTTTGAAGTTGACGTAAGGACAGAATCCCAGTTAATCGAAGGTGTAAGAAATCCCCTGGGTGTGGGATTTCTTCAGGGGCTTTTGGGTAACAGCAGACAGATCCGTGAGGCCTGAGTGGGAGCTGGGCTCTTTCTGGGGACATGCATTCGCCATGTGTCCAGGACCCCTCAAGATCCACAGCTCCTGGCCTGCCGCGTGCCCCCGCCGGTTCCACGGCAGGAGGGAAATGCTGGAGCGTGGCAGTGGTGCCTGTGATGTTCCAGGCAGGAAGTGGCCACTCCTGAGTAGCCAGACCCTTCCGCTCGGCATCATGCTTTCAAGGTTCCTCCACGCAGCACGAGTGAGTACTTCTTCCTTCCTGTAGCTGGGTAACGGTCCGCGGTGGGGACGCCACACGTGTTTCTCCACTTAGCCGCTCATGGCCATTTCAGTTCTTTCAGTTTTTCGACTAATGTTGTTTCCATTTTTGACTAAGATTTTGACTAAGAGGCATCACATTGCTATGAATATTCATGTACAAGTTTGCACGTAGATGTGTGTTTCCATTTCTCTTGTTTTGTAACCGGGAGTAGAATTGCCGGGTCACGTGTAACTCTGTTTAATGATCTGCCGGACTGTCTTCCCATGTGGTGGCTCCATTTTCCACGCCCACAGCAGTGTGTGGGGAGCTTTGTTTCCTCTTCCTGCGTGAGTTTGTCCATATCCTGGTCAACATTTGTCATTATCTTTCACTGTTTTTTGGGTAGACTTTTGTGAACCTCATATTAATATAAAGAGACTGGAGCTCTGCCTGTTACTCTCAAACTGTGATAAAAACTCTGAGGAGAAGGGATGTCGACTATAGAAATCATTATTTGCAAAGATAAATAAGTAAATTCCTGGGTGCTGCTGTTTTCCCCACAGCCCAGCACACCTGCAGTGTTGACAGCCTTCTTGCCCAGTGCCAGATTCCCTGTTGTAAGAGGCAACCTTTATGTGACTGTTTAACCCTCTTATAATGGATGCACATGCTGTTGTTTCCTTCCAGGCTTAAAGCTGAGTGTTAGGTATGTATATGTATATGTATGAATGAATGAATGAAGAATGCATGAATGAATGAAGGAGAGGGACAGTCTTGCTCTATCGCCCAGGCTAAGTGCAGTGGTGTGATCATGGCTCATGGCAGCCACAACCTCCCAGGTTTAAGTGATGCTCCCACCTCAGCCTCCTAAGTAGCTGGGACTGCAGGCGTGCACCACCACGCCTGGCTAATTTTTTATTTTTTGTAGAAGCAGGGTCTTGCTGTATTGCCCTGGCTGGTCTCAAACTCCTGGACTCAAGGAATTCTTCTTCCTTGGCCTCCCGAAGTGCTGAGATTACAGGCATGAGCCACTGTGCCTGGCGTAAAGCTGGGTGTTCTCTCATTGTTCTAATAATCATTTGGTCATGTCTTATGACAATTACACCTTAACTTTTTAGAAGAGAAATATGTAAGGGTAAAATTTCCATATATTCCCTGAAACTCTTGGGAGACTGTGATTCCATGTCATTCCTGACGTGTGCTCTGTTTTCCTTTTTCCCGTTGTGCCTCTCCCAGGCAGATTCGCTGCTCCTCGCATCTGGGGACTGTGTCTCACGTGTGTGTCGTGCTTTGTGCAGAGAAGCTCAGTAGATTGGAGAAGCTCTGTTGAATTGGATCCCTGCAGAAAGTTTTGTGTTTATGGAGCACTTTGCTTATTAATATTTGTGTAAACATCAAAACAATATATAATACTTATTTTTTGAAGTTAACGTTATGTTTATCTTGGCCTAGTTCAACCTCTGCCTCCTGGGTTCAAGCTGTTCTCCTGCGTCAGCCTCCCAAGTAGCTGTGATACAGGCGGCCACCACCACCACGCCTGGCTCATTTTGTATTTTTAGTAGAGATGGGGTTTCACCATGTTGGCCAGGCTGGTCTCGAACTTCTGACCTCAAGTGATCTGCCCACCTTGGCCTCCCAAAGTGCTGGGATTTCAGGCATGAGC